ACAATAACATGCATCAAAACACAAAAACACATCAAAACACAAAAATACATCAAATCAATAACATGGATCAAAACACAAAAATACATCAAAACACAAAAACACATCAAAATAATAACATGCATCAAACACAAAAATACACATCAAAACACAAAAACACATCAAAACAATAACATGCATCAAAACACAAAAATACACCAAAACAATAACACAATACATAGCACAATAAAACACAAAAACACACATCAAAACACAATAATGTGTCACAACACAACAAAACACAAAACAATAACATGCATCAAAACACAAAAACACACATCAAAACAATAACACAATACATAGCACAATAAAACACAAAAACACACATCAAAACACAATAATGTGTCACAACACAACAAAACAAAGAAACATCCAAACACAATAAAATGCAACAATACAGAATAACACACAATAAATCACAATAATACACAGTGTAGACATTACTTTCCGGTGTGAAATGATTGACAGGTCTTGTTTCCTGTGTCTCCGCCCCTTGAGGTGAACTTAAGTGAAACCTTTCTTCGCTCAAACTCTCATTGTGTCAGCAGCCCTCATTTCTCTTCCTGTCTGTCGTCTGCTGTCATTTCATCCCACTTCTTTCTCTCACAAACACACACACACACACACACACTGCCCGGTTCTGCTGTTGTAAGGATGATTCTAGCGAGTGTGCGTCAACTTCTTTCTGTGAGTGTTTTTCGTTTCTGGGAAGGATTGTGTGTGTTTTCGGTTCATCCTTCTGATGCTTGACTGTTATCGTTCACTTCCTGTGCTGCGCTGAGCTCTCGCTGTTCTTTCATCTCAGCTGTAGTAGATTATCTTTGTATTACAATAGCTGTCAAATGTTATGATGCTCCTGCTTACTCTTTCGTGTGACTGTTTTTCACATTTTATAATCATCAAAACTATGAAAAAACACAAATGGAAATATGGGAATAATGTAGTGGACAACATGTCGTAGCTTAAATTGCTTATATAGTAGAATAGAATAGTGTTATTTTAGTACTATTTATGTACTAATATTTATTAATATTTTAGCTTTTATTTTAATGTTATTATTTTCTTTTTATATTTAGCTTTAATTAATTTTGCTTTCAGTTTTAGTAATTTTAGTACTTCAACTTGAACTTTTTTTATTTCAGTTTGTTGCCAGGACATTTTATTTTATTTTATTTTATTTTATTTTATTTTATTTTATTTTATTTTATTTTATTTTATTTTATTTTATTTTATTTTATTTTATTTTATTTTATTTTATTTTATTTTATTTTATTTTATTTTATTTTATTTTATTTTATTTTATTTTATTTTATTTTATTTTATTTTATTTTATTTTATTTTATTTTATTTTATTTTATTTTATTTTATTTTATTTTATTTTATTTTATTTTATTTGATTTGATTTGATTTGATTTGATTTGATTTGATTTGAGTCCATTTATTTTATTTGAGTCCATTTATTTTATTGTATTTTATTTCAATTAAAATAAACATAAACCAGAAACATTTTTTAATAGTTTTAGTTGACAATAATAACACTGAAAAGAAACATTTTAAGTTTACGTTAATGTTCTTATAGGTTTAAGTTTTTATGTGATATTTACATTTGATTTCAGCTTCATTTCAATTAACGACAAATTATTTTTAATAGTTGAAGTTAAGAATAACAATATTGGAAGTTTTTGTTTTTCAAGTCTACATTAAGTCTGAGTTTTTATATTTAATATTTAGATATATTATATAATATTTTATTTTATTTCAATTACCGAAAAATTAGTTATCAGTAATAACACTGGAATAAAAAGAAAATGTCAAACTCCCATTCATATTTTAAAGTTTAAGTTTTTCTTGTAACGTTTATATTTCTACATTTTTATCTTTACTTAAATTACTGAAAATGATTTTCAATAGTTTTAGTTAACAATAACAACACTGAAATATAAACACAATAGCAGAATGATGATTCAAGCACAGTAAGTCTCTCAATGCATCTCATGATCATGTTCTCTATAAAGCCACGCAGACAACACCCTTGTTTTATGTTTGCTCTAATGGTTTACCCTCCATTAAATACACTGTATGGATCTATTAAACAATGAATAATGAATGATCTGAGTGTGTTAATGGTGTTGTTGTGTCTGTAGAGGGTGCTGTTGGAGCAGAAGCAGCGGCGGAAGCGTCAGGAGCCGCTGATGGTCCAGCCGAACTCAGAGGGACGTCCGCGGCGCTCGCGGCCCCGCCGCAGTGAAGAACAAGCGCCGCTCGTGGAGACGCACCTCAGCACTGCCAGTGACATCATCCTGGATGGTGAGGCTTTAAAGGGACAGTTCACCCAAAAATGAAAATTTGTTGTTAATGTACTCATCCTCAGGCCATCTGAGATGTCGATGACTTTTTCCTTCAGTAGAACAGTAAAGAAGATCTTCAGCTCAAACTGTGGTCCTTTGTGATTCAATCAAAAAAGCACATACAGGCAACAGAAAATGAATACCCGTGGCTCCTGACGATACATTGAGGTCTTATGAAGCGAAACGATCAGTCTGTGCAAGAACCTGAACATTATTTACCACATTATTACCTGTAATCCAGAGAATCAAGAAAACGTGATGCTCGGTTCGTGAACAAAAAAACGGTTCTTTTTGGTGAACTAGTTGAAGCAAAATTAGACGGAAGCGTCTGAAACAGTTTGAGGATGGAGCAACACAGATCTACAAGTTACTCAATCAGAACTCACTTTCGGATGCCTGACAGTCACTCCAACTCAAAATGAGTCATAATAGCAGCGTATCTGATCCTGTGATGAATGAATCATTCAGCGCTCCAGTTCCTCCAACAGTCACTGAACCGAGGAAACAATTCGACTCCGATTGAAGACTGATGAGCCGCTGATATGAGCATGTGTGAACCGAACACTTGAATGAAGAGGGCAAGTGAACGTTTTTATGGTTTCTCATTGTTTATGTAAAAAGGTGAGCTGATGAAGACTAGTTCATTCACTTTACATGCTTTAGACATGTAAAACATCCACGTTTCACACCATGCTTTAATAATATAATTGCGTATATTGCGTGATTACGCAAACAAACTAGTGAATTGAACCAGTTCTCAGAAAAGAATCCTGTTTGCCTGATTCTCTGGATTACAGGTAATAATGTTGTAAATAATGTTCAGATTCTTGCACAGACTGATCATTTCACTTCATTAGACCTCAATATATCGCCAGGAGCCACAGGGATTCATTTTGTGTTGCCTGATGTACTTTTTTGACTCTTGAAGGGACGGTACCCATTGACGTGCATTTTGTGAATCACCAAGGACTACGATTACAGCTAAAAATCTTCTTTACTGTTTTAATCAAGAAAAAAAGTCACCTACATCTTGGATGGCCTGAGGGTGAGTAAATGAACAGCAAATTTTCATTTTTGGTTGAACTAGCCCTTTAAATCATGACACTCCTCACTGTGCTTTTTATTATTAATCCCACTGTTTTGCATCAATATAGTTTTGGCTTCTCTTATCTGTTTATCAGGACACATATCTGATATTTGTCCTTCACTCTCTCTGCGAGGTTTTTCATTCATTTGCAGTCAGACTTTTTAGTTTCCACTATCAAACAAAAATGATCTCTCTGCCTGCTGAATAGATCTAGAATTAAACATTGTGCTTTGATTTGCATTCAGTATCTCGCCCTGCGGCTGTATGTGTGTGTTGTCCATCAGGCATCGACGGCCCCGCGGCTCTGCTGGGTTCAGAAGCTCCAGATCTGGGCAGTAAGATCCAGGTTCTGTCGGTCAGTCCGCCGCCCGCTGCAGAAGAGCCAGAGACAGACGCCGACACCGACACACTGCTGGAGCCCAAACCAGACATACACACTCTGCTGCAGAGACGCGGTAAGATGCACACACACACGCACACACACACACACACACACACACAGAGACACAGACACACTCACACAGACACACACTCACACACACACGCACACACACACAGGCACGCACGCACGCACACAGGCACGCACACACACACGCACACACACACACACAGACACACACGCACACACACACACACACACACACACAGGCACGCACGCACACAGGCACACACACACACACACACACACACACACACACAGAG